GTTACAAAAACAATGAATCAAACAGGAATTTGCTTGTTGGATTCGACTCACCAGCTGAGAAACGAAGGCCTTCTCTGTCCTACAACCAGCACCGACACTTCCAGCTTCTTAACTTGGTTCATCACTGTGCTCAGCCTCGGCCCCTCGATCACCAGCACCTCCACCTCTACCTGAAAAAATTTCATATAACCCACTTGGTAAAAAAATGGAAGTGAGATCTGAGCTGCAAAGATGAAGTAAGTGTAAATGTTATAAACTACGAATCTCCACACTGGTACGATATTGTCCACTTTGCGCATAAGTTCTCATGATCTCAAAAGTTCTGTCCTAACTTATAAATCTATGATTACGTCGGACTCCCTCTGGACAATTATCAACAGTAAATAAGCTAAGAAAAAATGGGGGATGTTTTGAATTCCCTTCTAACCTCTGGTCTGGAAGCCTTGCAAAGGGAGCCAAGAGAGGTAGCACAGAAAGGGGAAGAAGAAGAAGAAGAAGAAGAAGAATCGGTGGAGGCATTGGTGATAATATGCAGGAGAGTAAGAACATCGCCCTTGTTAGCCACATGAGTAAGCGCCCACATAGTTGCATGATTAGATTGTGAAGTATGATCCACCACCACCATCACCCTCTTCCTTCTCGACACTCCGCCATGGTCCATCCCATACATATTAACACCCCCTTCCATCTTCTCATTCCAATGGCTTCCCTCACTGACACGCTCTTCAGAAGCAGAGCTTCTCCTAAACTCCCCACCCCACCTCTTCGATGTTGATCTCGAGCCCTCCCCTCTACTTATCTGCCTCAGAAACGATTCCCCCCTTGGCATTTTGTCGAACACAACGTCTGCAAACAACAGCAGCACCAGAAACAGAAACAGAAACAGCTTCTACTTTATGCAACTCAGTGGTCTAGATCTGGTTAGGACTGAGGCCAACGCCAAAGCAAAGGCATAATAATTTCGATCTCTCTTTTTATAAACAGATTTTAAAGCGTCACGGGAAGAGAAGAGATGGGCATTGGGCAGGCGTGGGTTTACTCAACGGCGCGCGCGCGCACACACACACCACCATGGAAGTGAAAACACAATCACTGCTGTCTGAGTATGATGATGAAAGGTAAATGATTCCCTCTCTACTTACTCTTTGAAAATATTTTTACTTCTGTTTTGGATCTTTTCTCCAGAATCTCCAACCTAAAGTGGGTAAGTACGGTCAGATAAATATAAATATTATTTCTGACAAAACTTTTATTAATTGGATTTATTATGGGTTTTTAAATTTTGAATTTTCGAAAATTAAACGTTCATATTATACTATTTGTTTTCTCGACTCTGCCATCAATAATTTAGATTGTATTATTAGTTGGAGGATATTAAATTAAGATTTGCAAGTATTTATTTTTAAAAAAAATTTAAAAATTTATTTTCTATCTGAGAATAAATTATTATTAGATTGTATATTAGTCATGAGAGCTTATGTTCAAGATGAACAATATTATATCATTGTAAAGAGTTGTGATTCCTAACATGGTATCAGAGTCATGCTCTTAACTTAATCAGGTCAATAGAATCCTCAATGTGTGAACAAAAAAGTTGTGGGACTCGAAGATGTAGTCAAAAGTGACTCAAATGTTGAACATAGGGTGTACTTTATTCGAAGGCTCTAGAAAAAGGAGTCGAGCCTTGATTAAGGGGAGACTGTTTGAAGGCTCCACGAACCCTCAAAGGGAGACTCTATGATGTATTTTGTTTGAGGGGAAGATTGTCGAGGACTCTACCGGCCTAACAAACTCTTTAACTCATAAATTTATTTATTTATTTATAATCTCAAACCAATCTGAATAAATTAGTTGAATAGATGGAAACCATGTCAAAATCAAGAAATTATTACCCAATAAATAAAAAAGGAGGGAAAGAAAGAAACAAGAAGCTATCACAATCGAAGAATTCATTACAGTGTCCAATTGGGAAAATATTTATTTTATTTTCCTTAAAAGTATAGGCATAATAATGATAAATATTCAACTTGATTCTAATACTTTATTACTAATTATTTTGTTAATTATTTTGTAAATGGGATCTGATGATTGTTATTATTTAATATAAAATTATCTTAATTTTTCAGATTAACATTTATTAAAAAAATCAGATTCTTACATTATTATTATTATTATTATTATTACAAATTTGACACGTGGTTCTGGGCCCACGAAATCATTTTGGAGGACAAAATGGTAATAAGATTGATAGTATTGGATAAAATGTTATTTTTCTAATTTTTGAAAATTTCATATTTTAATAATATTACACCATTTATTTTAACAAATGCCACATATTTAGATTGTTTTAAAATATAATTTATTATTTTTTTTTTTTGTGCTAATTTAATGCTGTTTGAAACAATGGATTCCATTATTTCTGGTCCTACCTAATTAGTGAATAAGTATAGTACTTCACATTAATTTGGTTAATTAATGTTGATGGAAAATATTAGAATTTAAGAGTGTTTTTCTGTTTATGTTATTTCCTCATCAACCATTATTCAATTTTGTCCACACAGATACTTTTTCAAGATTGTCCTAATTGTGAAGACTTTTTCGGGTCGAGACATAGAATACCCACTCAAATAGAGAATTAGAGAGAAAGCGGGGATGAATTTCGTCTTGTTAGAAAAATAAAACTGGGGACGATGTTTAGTTTTTTTCGTCACTATTTTCAATACTAGCCTTGCGTCACATTTGCGCTTTTGTGACCATAGGAGAATGATTGTGTATCACTTGTTTTAACCAAGCGAACAAGTTAGTCATGTGAGATTCGGACTTTGTAGACAATACTGACATATGGTCGAGCTTCTAGTCATGTTTAGAGAAATGTTTTGAAAAACGTGAGTAAAGAAATGTAATGAAAACAATGTTACAAGCTAAAGGTGAGTAAGTAACAACCATAACTTTGATAGCATATAACTTGGGTAGAGAATTGACGACTAGCCACATCTCTCCTCCCTATAGTACATTTTGGGGTATTTTAACCCCAATGAGTGTAGACATAACTTTGGTGAGCAGTCGACACCTTTGTATTAACACAACAAGAATAGTAAAGGTTTATCTAGTATAAAACTAAGTAAAAAAGATTTGGAACAGGCATACCATGTTCTAGACAAGCATGATTGAGACATCTGACACACAACCCTAGACAACATGTTTGGACAAGTATGACCGTAACATCCCGTCTCAATCTTCACACTGCTTCACCCCATTACTTGATTTCCTACTTCCGACAAAAAAATAAATGAATAACTTTATACCGATAGAAAATAAAAATAGGAAGTATAGACAGAGATAGAGAAAAGGTCTTCGTTCCCACTCGTCCCATTGACAACTCTTAAGTGGCTAGGGTTCACGAAAGTCAAATATGGTGGTTAGATGTATGGACCACGTTTGATGAGTATATAGTAAAACCAAAGAAAATAAAAGAAAAGAAAAAAGTATAAACAAGATAGGAAGAATTGACGATTACCCACGTTCCCCTATAGCACACTTTGGGGCATTTTAACCTTAACGGGGGTAGACATGATTTTGGCGAGCGGTCATACACTCTCGTATTAACACAATAAGAATTGTAAAAGTTTATCAAATATAAAAGCAAATAAAAAAAATTTGAAACAGACATGCAGCCATAGATAACACGTCCTAAACAAGCATGATCGAGATAAAGATAACACGTCCTAAACAAGCATGATCGAGATAACCTATAGAGAGTAGAAAATGGAATAAAGCGGGGCGAGGGGTTGGGAAACGGGAGGGGCAATAATGGTAAGCCAATACGGTCACGTTAACTGAGCCATATGTGTGGGCATAGGGAATTGAATTGGTCCACTAACCCAAACTCATTTCTTTTTATTTATTTATTTATTTATTTTATTTATTTGAGAGTAGGGACAAATTAGCATTCTACCTTTTTCATCTGCGCTCGTGCCAGACGGTGCCCCCTCCCCACTCATTAAATATTCTCTATTTTTTTATTTTCCAATTTTTAAAATGGAGATCCTCTCGTTTGGGCCATCGGCCCAATTATGAGGTTGATATCCAAATACTTATTTGGGCTCAAATACAGGCCTTCCGTTTCTTCTTGGCCCAAAGATAATTGGGCCCCATTTAGTGAGAGTCCATGGACCTAGCCTATTGCCTAATTTCTGGCCCATTGTGGCTCCACGTTGTTGGGATAGATTGATTAAATAAATAATAATAATAATAATAAAATACTCACATGTACGATGAGTAATAAAATATATATTTTTTTTAATAAATAACTGTTCGAACCTCTAACCTTAAAATGACGTACATACAAATGTTTTTATAAAACATGCATGTGTTGTAAAATTTATAGGATTTTAAAAGAATTGATACGAGAATTGGTTTTTTTTTTTTATAAAAATATTATTAATTAAATTTAATTTTGTAACGAAATTTTTTCTTTATCAAAATTAGTTAATTTTAGATTTTATTATTTATTTTTTTAAAATTATTGATAAATTAAACGAATAAAAAGTATGAAATTGAAAATTAAAAATAAAATTTGATATAATTTGGTAAATTGAAAAATAAAAAGGAAAATTGGTAGGAAAATTTACCAAATTCTTTTCTTGCTTCTTTTTGCTGCTGCATCAGCATCAACACTGCTCTGACACCGCCACCTGTACCCTTAATTCTTCAAATAATCATTTTTTTAATCTAATTTTTAAAAAAATAATTCTCCACCAATATGCGAGCGCGTTTCTAATACGCGCATATCAAAGAGCGTGAGCCTATCATCACACGAACTCTATCAGCCAAAAGACAAAAATAAAAAAATTCTTTTGAGAAAGCCTCACCGGAAAAACTAAAAAGCTGAAATTCCCAAAATACCCTCACCGGCAAAGGCTTCCCGGGATTCTGAACGTATTAAAACGTCGTCGTTCGTCAGCTGCAAAAAAGCGGGAATTTTGAGCTCTCCGGCGGGCAAAGTAGTCCAAAGAAAGAACTCGAAGATCGAGATTCTGAGCAGTGTCTTTGTCTGCCTCTGTACTCCAAACACGATTCTTTCCTCCACCTTTTAATTTCTCTCTCAAAAACCCTAAAACCCTTTGAATTCATGTAAGAAAAGTATCATTTTCTTTTAAATTTAGTCGTAATTTCGAAAACCCTTAGAACCCTTTTGAGTGTTTTGAATCCCATTTGCCTCGAATATAATTTCCTTCTCTGTTTGAGTTCATTTCAAGCTCCATTTCTTGTAGAGAAAAACCCAATTTCTCTCTGCTTTTCTTAGAACAAAGCTTGTAAAATGGCAGCTCGAGCGCTGAATAGCGCTCACAGAGCTTTAAATTCGTTCTTGTTTATTGTTTTAGCCTCATTTTTGTTCAATATAGCTTTCATTAGCGCTAAATCAACCATCGAGCCATGTTCGAACGCCGATTCTTGCAATTCCCTTCTCGGCTACACTCTCTACACCGATCTTAAGGTTTCTGAGGTTGCTTCGCTGTTTCAAGTCGACCCCATTTCGATTCTCACAGCCAATGCCATAGATGTTTCATACCCAGATGTTGAAAATCACATTCTGCCTTCGAAACTCTTCATTAAAATCCCCATTTCTTGTTCTTGCGTTGATGGGATTCGTAAATCGGTTTCGACACGCTACAAGACTCGCCCGTCTGATACTCTTTTGTCGATTGCTGATACTATCTATGCTGGTTTGGTCTCGTCGGATCAGATTCGTGAGGCGAATTCGATATCAGATCCCTCTGTTCTTGATGTTGGACAGACACTTGTTGTGCCACTTCCTTGTACTTGTTTTAATGGGACAGACAATTCTTTGCCTGCTATTTACTTGTCTTACGTTGTTCAAGTTGAAGATACTTTGACAGGGATTGCAGTTAGATATTCCACCACTATTACTGATTTGATGAATGTTAATGCTATGGGAAACCCGAGTATTAAGGCTGGTGACATCTTGGCCGTCCCCTTGTCAGGTATGTTTTGGAGAAATTTTGGGATGTTTAATGTTTTGTTGAGTGCTTGATTTATGAGGCTGTGAATTGTTAGAAGCTAATGATGTCTTGTTCGGTTTGCTGCACAATTTGGGTGTTGAAGGAAATATATTGAATAATGTGACAACCGCTCAAGCTCACCACTAATCGATATTGTTGTCTTTAGGCCTTTCTCTTTTGGGCTTTCTCTCAAGGTTTTAAAACGTGTCTATACCATTATAAGAAATGATTCTTATCTAGAACCGATGTGGGATCTCACAATCCATTCCCTGTCGTAGCCCAGTGTCCTCGCTTGCACTCGTTTCCCTCTCCAATCGATGTGAGACCCCCAATTGTGAGATCTCATATCGATTGGGGAGGAGAACAAAACATTCTTTATAAGGGTATGAAAACCTCTTCCTAACAGATGCATTTTAATCACCTTGAGGGGAAGCCCGAAGGGAAAATCCTAGAGAGGACAATATCTATTAGTGGTTGGCTAGGACCGTTACAAATGGTATCAGAGCCAAACACTGGACGGTATGCCTACGAAGAGGCTGAAACCCAAAGGGGGGTGGACACCAAGCGGTGTGCCAGTGACGACGCTGGATTCTAAAGAGGGGTGGATTGTGAGATCCCACGTCGGTTGGAGATGGGAACAAAACATTCTTTATAAGGGTGTGGAAACCTCTCTCAGCAGACACGTTTTAAAACCTCCAAAGAGGACAATATCTGTTAGCGGTGGGCTTAGGCTGTTACAGGCATAGTCATGACTAAGGTTTAGTTTGGATCAAACACAAAAAACAGTCAAAATTTCCTCATAATCCTTTGTAATGCCTACATAATTAACCCCAAAGATGGCCTAATTGTTCCTGAACTTGAGAGGGTATGTTCATTTTCATTTCTACAGCCTGTGCATCTAAGTTTCCAAGATACTCCTCCGACTTCGGCTTGATCGTGCCAAATGGAAGCTATGCGATTACCGCAAGCCATTGCGTGCAATGTAGCTGTGGGCCGGGGAATCGCAAGTAATAATTGAGTAGCTCTTTTACTTGAATTGTTGTGGTGGTATGAAGATTGATGATTTTGATTTGCTTGATTGTTTGTTTTGAAACAGTCTGTACTGCATGCCTGCTCCCTTTGCCGTTTCTTGTTCAAGTATGCAATGCAGAAACAGCAATCTAATGCTGGGGAACTATACTGCCCAGCAGAGTAGTGCAGGTTGCAATGTTACATCTTGTAGTTATGGTGGTTTTGTAAATGGCACCATATTGACGACGTATGTCTTGTTTCTTCTCGCTTGGTTTCGAGCTTTTCGATTATGTTATCGTTTCATCCAAACAGTCTTTTTGATGAATCTTTATTTGTATTTCACAGGTTGTCTTCGAATCTTCAGCCTCGATGCCCAGGTAATCTTGATTCTTAGAAAAGCTTACCTTTTAGGTTGTTTGGTTTGGCGGAGTTTTCTATGTGAGATCCTATATTGATTGGAGAGGAGAACAAAACATTCCTTACAAGGGTGTGGAAACTTCTTCCTAGCAGATGCGTTTTAAAACCATGAGGCTGACGACGATATGCAATGGGTCAAAACAGACAATATTTTAGTAGGCTTGGGCTGTTACAAATGGTATCAGAGCTCGTTACTAGGCGGTGTGCCAGCAAAGACATTGGGTCTCCGAGGGGGGTGGATTGTGAGATCCCACCTCGGTTGGAGAGGGGAACGAAACATTCCTTATAAGGGTGTGGAAACCTCTCCCTAGCAGACACGTTTTAAAACCGTGATGTTGATTGTGATACATAATGGGCCTAGGCGAACAATATTTGCTAGTGGTGGGCTTGGGTAGTTACAAATGGTATCAGAGCCCGTCATCGAGTGGTGTGCCAGCGAGGACGCTAAGCCCCCAAGAGGGGTGGATCGTGAGATCCCACATCGGAGAGGAGAACGAAACATTTTTTATAAGGGTGTGGAAATCTCTCCCTAACAGACGCGTTTTAAAACCGTGAGGCTGACGGCGATACATAACAAGTCAAAGTGGACAATATTTGCTAGTGGTGGGGTTGGGCTGTTACAAATGGTATTAGAGCGCGGTGTGCCAGCAAGGACGCTGGGCCTCCAAGAAGGGTAGATTGTAAGATCCCACGTCGGCAGGAGGGGGAGTGAAGCATTCCTTACAAGGGTGTGGAAACCTCTCCCTAACAGACGTGTTTTAAAATTATGAGGCGGATGGTGATACGTAACGAGCCAAAACAGATACCGCTTGTCATGTAAGCGGTATCTGCCAACCATATCATGTTCTTCATGGTGATTCTATATTACAGGGCCACAGCAATTTCCCCCGCTTAAAGCCCCACCTACTACAGTAATCAGAGATTCAAATTTTGCACCTGCACCTGCTCCTCAATCTGATGGCACTGGATCACCTGCACCCAGATCAGGATTGATCCCTTCATCAATTGGATCTCTCCCCGGACTCCCGCCAGCCAGTGGCCCCGTTGGTACCGGGTTTAGTTCGCCGTCTTCCAGTTCTTCCTCGTCGTTGGCGAATCCGTTAGGTAGTATCCTTGCTGCCTTGATGTTATTTATCGTTGCCTATTTCTTAACATCACTTTCATTGTAAAGTTTTTTTTGGGTCTTTTTCTTTGATTTCATGTAATTGTACTATCTGTCTTGGGGGATACCGCTTGTCTGTGTTACCGTTCATGTAAGATTGCTACTTGTTTCATCCATTTCAAGCTTGCTATTTCTTAGACATTGTTGAGATGAAGATTCTGTTGCCTATTGGACACTAGGTTCTTGAGAGAAGAGATGTTAAGATTTTATTGATTCAGATGCTCTAAGCTAAGCCAAGTCAGGTGCAGCACTTGTTTTAATCCAACGAACAATTTAGATATTTACTTGAGCCGGGATTATATTTGAGAGATATTTTAGAAAGGAAATATGTTGAAAACAATGGTAAAGAAAACAATGTTATAAGCTAAAAATGAGTAGGCAACAACCGTTTTGATAGTAACTTGGGTAGAAAGAATTGACTACTGGTTACATTTCCTGTAGTACATTTTGGGGGGTTTTAGACCTTACCGTTGTAGACATGAATTTGGTGACTGGTCATACACCTTGTCTATGTCCTTCTATTCATGGCAATCACTCTTTTGAGGATTAAAAGAGAGTCGGTGACTACTCTTTTCCAATCAGAACTGGCGGAATAGGCCTCTTTCGACCATAACTTACTAAATAAACACAGCCATAGACATTTAGTAAAACTTAGTTTAGAAATATTTATAATTAGTTTCAAAATTTCCCTAGTTAATTTTCATATCCAGTGGACTCGAACGAAGCTCGTTTCGAGCAAATGCTGATTGATCTTCAAATCTAGAACAAGATCCACAACAATAAATTCACTAATTTAAATTCAGTTTGAAAAGCTTGTAATAACACAATGTAGAACTGGAAATGAAGTTTATGTACAAGATTTACAATTCTAACCGTAATTAACACAACTAAAAAGAACGAATAATCAAAAGAAAAAACAAACAATGCCATGAGAAATGTTAACAGTTATTTACATCACTTGAAAGAACGAATAATGAACAGGAAAATGAACCCCAAACAATATCTTACATTTGTTGAACATAGCTTCTTCAGAGCACCTTCATCACTGCTTTGCTTGTATGGTGAACACCAGTGGCGGCCAGTTTCAATATAGCACGACCCTGGTACAAGCTGCAATATGCAAAACCGTGACGAACAGACAAAGTTATCAAACAATTAATCCGAAACTTAAGACAAAAGTTACTATTTATACTTAGATGAACAACCTTGGTAAGATCTGATTAAAACCTATTTGAAAGATAAGATGATAGATCGACAGAGATGTGTGAAAGGCCATTCGTTAGATAAAGTTCTTTCTGCCCTTGGGATGAAATTGAAGTGGGATACTAAAACTAATGAATTTGAGAGTGACTATTCCTAGGGTCACCAGATTAGCCCATTCAAGAATCAATGAATGAAATGTTTCATTTCCTCCCCCACATATGTCGAGATATAAAAAAGGTGAGCTCAGCCTAGGTATGAAATGGTAAAACAACTTAAGGTTTGAGCATATGCATAAGCCATTCAAGAACTCCAGCTATGTGATGAGGGCTTCTAGTTTGATAGCAAGCTCCAAGCTTGACAAGAACTTCACACATTGGATTTTAGATCCAAGCATGTGATGAGAATCTCGGACCTCCACAATGGTATGATATTATTCACCTTGAGCATAAGCTTTCATGGTTTTGTTTTTTGTTTCTCCAAAAGGCGTCATACCAATGGAGATGTATTCCTTACTTATAAACCCATGATCACTCCCTTATTTAGCCGATGCAGGACTCCCTCCCAAAATCCTCCCCTCAAACAAACAAAGCACACCATAAAGTCTTCCCCTGAGGCCTATGGAGCCCTCGAACAACCTCCCCTTAATTGGCTTGACTCCTTTCTCTGGAGTCCTCAAACAAAGTATACCCTTTGTTCGACACTTGAGTCACTTTTGACTACACCTTCGAGACTCACAACTTCTTTGTTCAATATTTAAGGATCCTTTTGACATGGCTAAATTAAGTGCATGACTCTGATACCATGTTAGAAATCACATATCTCCACAATGATTGATATTGTCTACTTTGAGCCTAAGCTCTTGTGGCTTTACTTTTGGTTTCTCCAAAAGGCCTCATACCAATGAAGATGTATTCCTTAATTATAAACTCATGATCATTCCCTTAATTAGCCGATGTGGGACTCTCTACCAACAATCCTCAGCGATGTTTATTCTTATAATTCAACAATCATAAGCTCTCCTATCAAGTGCTGTTTCATATTCTACATGAGGTATCCAGAAAAACGAAATGCGATCATTTTCAATAAGACATAAATCAAGGAAAACTGACCCCGCCAATGCAAGTCCCCAAGTGGCCAAGGAATAAAACAGCAGCCCAGCATGCCAAATTTCAAACATCTTCTCCATTTTGCTGCCCATACCCTTCAGCGCTTTTGCTATTGCTGCAAACAGATAAACACAATAGCACAACATGTCAACTCAACAAGTTCCATTGCTCGAGCGTAATCCCCACGGTCCATAGGTCAAATTAACAAAACGAAAGACGTACTTTTCTGCAGCTCTTCAGGTGATACATTCTGCATTTTGGAAAACTAGAATATTTAAGATTCAATACAGAAATCTACACAGAAATTTGCATTCAAAGTGATAGTCATACCCGGGTATTCGGGTTGGACATAATACATCTAGCCATGAAGTGGGCAACTGCATCCACCACATGTTCTTCAGATACAATCACATAGCTTTCATCATCAATCCCACTCCATTCTTCAACTTTGCTCGGAACCATATCTTCAGTAACCCATATCCACCAACTGGGCGCATCACGGCTAACATTCACAAGAATCTCAGCTGTGTGCGAATCAGCTCCTAACCAAAGAATCAACCAAGGGAGAGAAAAAGCATCAAGCAATCAATACGAAAAATGGATTATGTTTGGTTCAAGAAAGGAAGAAAGAAAAACCTGTAGCTTCCCTGAAAGGAAACTCATAGGTAATTCCATCTTTTGATGCTTCGTTGAGGGATTTAATTTCATTCAAGAACTTTTCAGAATCCACCGTCGCAACGAGACGAGCGTACAACTGGGATTTACAAAGATAAAATCACATAATCGGCATAGAATAATTGATGATTCCGAAAAGAGAAGGCAAATAAATCGTTCCAGCCCTAAAATTAGGAACAGCGCGAAATTTCAATCCAAGGCAAAGTAAAAAAATGAATCAAAATCAGGCTAAAGCTTGAAAAAAGAGGGCAAACGGATGAATTACATCAGGGGGACAATCCTTCAACAAGCAGTGCGATTCAGATAGCTGCTGAAGGAGGTCGAGATTTTGCTCAAGCAAATTCCTCAATCTCCGATTCTCCGATCGCAGAGCCTCAAGCTGTTCTTCCTCTGTAAGATTGGGCTCGGCGGCATCGTTGCTAGGTTTATGGTGATGACAACACTCAATCGCAGTCCAGGCCACGTCTGCGACCTCCATGACCGTCTTGGCCACCTCCAGAGCGCCATGGCCGCCCTTCATCTGGAGAAACCTTCGGTTGCAATCAAATGAACTTCGAAGAGCTTTTCTTCTACGGAACTTCGAAGGATAATTATTGTAAAACCTGAAATCGGATTTTTGTAAGGATCATTATATATACACAAATTGATATATTTTGATTGTCATGAATGATTGCAATCAAATGAAGCGGCTTGCAATAGGGCTTGCGTTGATTAAAGGAATTAAACGAACCTACAACTAAAATCATAATCAAATTATTTCAACCTACCAACCTTTTTCAATCACTATAATTATTTTGAAGAACCAGCAAAGCTCGAGCGAGAGAACTAATCAAAATTCAAGAACAAGCGGAAGAAAATAAAAAATTGAAGTGTTAGTGCAAATTAGAGAACAAATCAGATCGATAGCCTATCCCTATGAATATCATTAATAATCCTCGAATCAATAATTAACTAAAAATTAAAGGTTTGACTTTTAATTACGAAAGAAATTGCTTTCTTTAACCTAAATTATTGTAATCTATTTTCTAATTTTGGCAAATTTGAAATAAATCCATTTCTAGGTGGATTTTTGTTCATGCTGGTAATTTTTTTTCCTCATTTAATTATGTTCACACGTGTATCGTACCATTTCGAGGCTACACGGTTCATTAGTTCATTAAGTCTTTGATTCTACGTTCTTGGTGGTTCTAGGATTTCTTTTGGGCATGGTAATTCGTAAGTCTCGTACCATTTCGAGGCTACACGGTTCATTAAGTCTTTGATTCTACGTTCTTGGTGGTTCTAGGATTTCTTTTGGGCATGGTAATTCGTAAAAGTCCAAGCTTTAGTCTATTTGGTATCACCGTAAGCCTCACGGTTCACGGTTTTAAAATGCGTTTATTGAGGAGAGGTTTTCACACACTTATCATAATTCATCCCTTTTGGAGACTAGCATCCTCCCCTTCCCAAAGAAAAATTATATATACACGTCGTGAAATCGACTTATTAATCTGACCTAAACCCATAAATCAGAGTAGGAATCGTAATCTTCTTCTAGTGACCCTTGTAGCTAATTACCTAATCACACAACGTGAATTTACCATAAAGTCATTTACGATTACCCACTTTAGATAATTTTGATGGCTAATTGTCTGATCACAGAATATGTAATTACCCTGAAGTCATTTAGGATCACCCACTTTCGATGATCTTGGTAGCTAATTGTCTGATCACACAATGTATAATTACCATAAAGTCATTTACGATCACGCATTTTGAATGGCCTTAGTGGCTAATTACCCAATCACACGACGTGTAATTCCAATAAATACTTACGGCCGACAATAAACAAGACAAACAATAAGAGAAACATGTTAAACGAGTTGATTTCATTAATCAGACCAATGGTTCGACCAATTAAACAATAAAGATTAATATGTAAACATTCTGTAAGTTAAGAAAAAAGTTTCCGACAACTAGAAGAGAGAGTAAAAACGTTTCAATTTCTCGTTTCCTACCTTTTTTCTCTTAGCTGTCAAAATTTTTAATGGTAGTGTTCGATATAAATCTAAGTAATGATAAAATACGAGACGAAAGACTAGATTTTGACTTTTGACTTTGACTTACAAATCTTTTAGAAAGCCTCGACAAATCATCGAGCTCGAAAAGCTTTTCGTCGACGTCGGAAGCT